AATGGGACACATAACAGAGTGCGCCTTTTAGTACGGTGCGCCTTATGGTCGTGAAAATACGGTAATATTTTTTTTGTTTATTATTTTTTTACATTCCTCTCTCAAATGACTAAACAAAAGCTCAGAATCTGGTCTCACTTGAAACAAAATAGAGATTCACCGATACAGGTCTTCATAGAGTCGATATTTATTATTTTGACACCAGTTAAGCCAAACCCTGAAATGCACTTTCCATTTTAACGGGGCCTATTTTTCAGAACAGTGTTTCCTTCTCTTTCACTTACACGATAAACAGGGTGATAACAAATGGTACACAAGTCTTAATTTAAACAATAAGGAACATTAATTAATGCACCTCATCACTCTGAATTTAGTGTTAAAACAAAATGTTTATTCTTTTGTTTTTATTAATTTTTTTTTCTATTCTTCACAGTTGAATGAACTTCTGCATATGATGAAAGAATTTTTGGAAAAACAGCAAAATCTTTAATTTTAACCGTTAAAACCATCAATTTCTAATGTTTCAGCCTCCTTTTTTACGCTATGTCTAAAGAAAAATAGATAAATAGATCAGGGTAGTTGTTATGACAACAAAATAACCAGATATGTGAAGGCTTTGAATTGTCACTGTGAAATGACATGTATGTTTAGCATTCATTCATATGTGGGTCACAATGTGAGATTATTCCTATGATAAAAAAGGGAACGAATACTAAAATTTATAGAAAAAAACTTTTCTGACTTGATAATAATTCTGCTGTTTTATCATTAATCTAGCTGCGGTTTTATACAGCTGCCACTAGATGGGAGCAAAGGCTGTAATATAGCATATGAAGCATTTTTTTCCCTAGTTATATTTTACACTTTTGTCAAAGAAAACATATATGGGCGTGTTTTGATGGTGCAGTCGTTAGCGCACATGACCCATGGAGGCCTTAGTCCATGACCTGGCCGACCCGGGTTCGAATCCGACTTGTGGTCCTTTTCTGCATGTCTCTCCCCTTCTCTCATACCCCCTTTCCTTCAGTCTAAGGTCCAAAAAAGAGCCACTATTACTGCAAAAACTAAAAAAAAAACAACAATTCTATTCAGAGAAACTGATACTTTATGAAAACTTTGGATGTTTTTGTTTTTCAGATTCTAACAGAGCTGGAACACAGTGGCGTCGGCAGGAACAAAGAACAGAGCGCTCGTATGCTTGGTCACCTGGTCTCCAACGCACCCCGCCTCATACGACCATATATGGAGCCCATTCTCAAAGTAAAATAATTTTTTCATATTACTTTCTAACTGTAACACTTGTCTTATGCTCTAGACTTAATTGCTTGTAAACAAGTGAAGACTGAAGACTATTTCCAAATATCTTAGGAACAATTAGGTTCACACTTTCTGCATAAAAAGAAAGCTTTGATTCAGAACCTGCTTTAATGTTCGGCTTGCAGGCTCTCATACTGAAGCTTAAAGATCCAGATCCTAACCCTGGAGTGGTGATCAGCGTCCTCGCAACAATCGGAGAGTTGGCTCAGGTAAGGCCGCTTCATTTTAAGATGGATTAAATCTGTACTGAGCGTGTTTTAGGTGGACTGAAAATGATCATTTGAATGTTTTATAGCTGTTTTTATATAGACAGACGTGGTATAAATTAAATTTGCATCCATCTTATCCCTATCTGTCTAGGTGTTTCAATCGTTCCAACACAGGAGTCTGGATAGGACAGTTAGGGGCCGCCAGGCCCCGCAGTGCAGACAGAGTGCAGGAGATGCTTAGGTGTACAGAGTTTACACAGCTGAACCAGTTCAGGAAGAGGCAGAGGTGCAAATGTTGAGGAATAGAGCGGCAAGAAGGAACAAAGGGAATGTAGGGAAAAGAAAAGAGAAGGCAATGATTTGATTCGTAATGATCATGATGGTAGCTCATCATATGACTGTAGACTGACTTTGCTGCCCTGTTTCTGTTTTTTTAGTGAAGAACTGATCAGATTCCTTAGTTTCAGGGACTCTTTTGACTGAATATTATTGATGTGATTTTTATTGGCTGTCACTGAGTAGGTGAGCGGTCTGGAGATGAGGAAGTGGATGGACGAGCTCTTCCCTATCATCATGGACATGCTGCAGGACTCATCGTCATTGGCTAAGCGTCAGGTAAGGAGAACCATTACGGTAAATGAAATACATTTATTGAATTTAATATTTAGTAATAAAGAATATGCTTTTACAAATAAAATAAAACCAGAGCCAGACGTCTCTTCTGTATTGGCAACATTCAGCAGTATCCACTGTCTGTTTATGACTTTCCTCCAGGTGGCGCTGTGGACACTGGGCCAGAAGGTAGCGAGTACAGGCTATGTGGTGGAGCCATACCGCAAATATCCTTCGCTTCTAGAAGTGCTGCTCAACTTCCTGAAGACAGAGCAGAACCAGGGGATAAGGAGGGAGGTATGACTGAAGGCCTGCTGCTCTTCATGCTACTGCCCCTAACATGTTTATACTTTTAAGCTAGTGGAGAGTCCATCAAACTTTTATTTTGATCTCATACTCTCCTGTAAGCAGGGGGGGATTTACCTTAAGGCAATACTAGGCAGTTGCCTAGGGCCCCAAGTTCCTGGGGGCCCCATTAGTCTCTGTTTACATGTATGGTTAATACAACTATTCTTTATTTGTGCTTTTGCTAAAATGCCATCAGAACCAGTGGTGGAGTTTTTTTCCAGGGGGGCTATAAATTCAAAATGGGTGTATACCAAAAACCAATCAAATGTATACTAAGTTATCACACTAGAATATACATATGATGCCCACAATAAAAACATCATAAAAACACTTTATAAAAATGTACAGGTTTACTTTTTGTCCATAAATCTTGCCCTTCTGAGGCTTTGTAAAGGCAAATATTGTGTTTTGCATGATCCAATATTGTGTCACAAACCTAAAAAAATAATATACCAGTCTAATAATGGAGAAGCTCTTAGTCAGGTTTATATTTTTTTAATGTATAAAAACTATATATATTTGCAAATTAACAAACTTCTAGAAAAAGTAGACTATATTACATTATTTTCTATGTGAATTCCAGATTGTTTATTCTTCTTTGCCTTTTCTAAAAAGTGTTTTAAATCAGTCCTACCTGTCTTTATCCATGCTGTGTCAGACGTTTAAAAAAAGGAGGCAGCAGAATAAAGCTTTAGCCTCGCTGCATGCAGTTAGCCAAGCCTTCTTGCTAAACCAGGTCCTGGAAAAGGACGTTTCTTGCACCATTTCTCTCTCTCTCTTTCTCTCCAATGCGAGTCAGCCTGTCAATCACCCACCTAACATCTGCGCTGTGGCGGGAGGTGGAGAGCAAGTACACTTCCTGTCACCTCAGGGCACAGTTCTCCTGCGCTCCAAGCTCTCCTACACCTTTGTATTGCGGAGGAGCTACTGCGCCATACAACTTTTAACGAGAGTCAATGGGCTAAGATTTTTGCGCCCTAGGGTAGAAATATGTCACCAATGCGACCAAAAATGGAATGACGCTTTACTAGTCATTAAAGATTTATTTTGCACATCTAAGAAATATATATTAACATACTTCGAAATATTTTAAATTTTAATTTAAAATTCAATTATTTAAAGAAATATGTATTATGTCCTTATCAGGGTCATTGGGTGGGTGGAGTGGCACTCTGGCGCCCTCTATTGACCAACTGCCACTAATCAGAAGACTTATAATACATTTGCTGCACATGTTCTGAAAGGTCCAAACAAACAGCAGCAAACCATTTGAAAACAAACGACCAGTTGCCAACGTAGAGCTTTTGTCGTTATATTTAGCGACTTTTCTGACTCTTCTAGCATTTTTATTTAAAAAAAAAAAGTGCCAAATCTAGTGACTTTTTCTGCTACTGCAGAGTTGGGAGAGAACATCTAAAAGCAGTGAACTCTGCTCTCCAGAGCAAGTAGATTGGTAACCCCGCCTCCTGCTCTCCTCTATCTTGTCTGCGGTCATGATTCATGCAGCTATTATTTCATCCAAATGAAAAATGGAGAACAGAGAAGCAGATCATGGATTGTCTACAGTGAAAAGACGGACTGTGTTATTTACTTTTGCTGTCGCATGAAAAGTCAGCATCAGAGTACAAAACATTGAGAGGAAAACAAAAAGAAAGGGGACAAAACGTAGAACAAATAATGTATGTCTATTCTATAAAAATGTCTGTATCTGTATAATGAGGTCTGTTTTATGTGTTGTTTTCTCAATTCAGAGGGCCCCATGCCTGTCTTTGCCTAGGGCCCCAAATTTGCTAATTCTGCCCCTGCCTGTAAGCTTTCAGTTTGGATGATAGACCTTAAAATTGGCCCCAGACATAAGTTTATTTAAGGGAAACAAAGTAACTAAGGTTG